CTCCGTAATATATATATATATATATATATATATATATATAATGGTTCAGATGTGAAACCACCAGTGCCACCACCAATGTGGCCTCGTGGTTCATCTGACAGAGCATACCCTGTACAAAAGCGTAGGCGGCGTCCTTGCTTGCTACTGAAATTTTCACTGTTTCAACATAAGACCAACGTGTCAAACGACAAGTGGAATATATATATATCCCGAAGAAGACAAGGTTCGGAACAATATCACGGGTCATCTGAAAGTCAAATGACATGTAGATATTGATGGGTGCAGTTGGTTACCTGGGTTGCATTACGATTCTCGGTTGGGAGCCTTGAGATCGGTCTGGCTGTTTCTTGTCCACATTAGGCAATATGGTAGAACTTGTGGTAACCATTATTTCCCTACATTGTCTGATTGATCGGATTATTAGAAGACAACCAGGAAAACAAAAAACAATCATGGCCGAGACACGAGTGGTTCAAACCGAGGTGAACTGAATAGTGGGATGATTGGATATCGACATCCCATTCTGTAGGATGGAGTAGTATTTGGTACATCATATTTGGACTGGTTCACCCTCTCTCTCTCGCTCTCTTCACATTTGTCACACACACGTAAACTACATGAGGGTTTTGACAAGGATTTTCCAAGAAAACTGCTTGGTCAATAGAATGACACAGTTAACTCACGTGACTAACGTGCTGAGATCATTCGCGTTGACCGATTCGCCAACATACATGTTTCTCTTCCGATCTGCTTATTGCCTGTGTCGGTTCCATGTTTCAGCTCTATGACTGAGTTTAGGTTAACGATCGTACAATCTGAATCGTATTTCATCGCTTAATCGTTGATCGATCGGGCATGAATAAAACAAAGTGATCAGGAAGTTCGCTACTCCAAGTCCCATGAATGTTGTCGGTTGCCAACGGTGCACAGTAGGTCCTGATGACTGTGGGATTTACTCCCTTCGGCTATTCATCATACAAGTATTTGTAGTGATGAGAACCCCGACGGGTTGTTGAAAATTTTCCACTTCACTAAAGTGATGGATATGTATAGGTGAACTGACTCGGTGACACTGTGGCTAAGCTTATTCTATCGCAATCGCTGCGTCTTCTCAGATTGCATACAAGGGCTATTCGCGGACTGTGTTCGCGATGTTTGAAACAGCTATTTAATCACGTACACAATACGGGAGTCAGTACCCAGATCTACCAGATACTTTTCATCATTTGTGTTATATAACGGAGAAATAATTGTTGTAGAACGGGTAATAATAGTAGATCATTGGGTGTAGTACAACACCTTTTCTGATATGCACAAAGTGGCAACGTCACCAAACTGTCACTCCGGGGATGTGTGTTCGAATTCTACCACCACCGACTGACTTCTGCCATTGTGTGTTGAATGGCCGCTCGGGAGTTCAAACGGTATGGCTTGTCCAAAAGCACCCAACAGCAGGAAATACCAAGGGGCATAATTCGGACTGATTCGGTCAGCCCAGTCGAATTGTTAGCGGGTGAAACTAAGTGTATCATCCTTGAATTTACGATCTGAACCGAGGGGGACGGGCAAGTACTGCAGAACAACCACGAAGGACGTAGAAATCAAGGTTGTATGATCAAATTCAGTTGATTCCTCTTTAAATTGAGGCATACTCCGTTTTGTTGTTTATTGATCGATACGTTCTCGATTAGGTCATAATTCATTTGTGTGATCCGTGCATCTGTAAGGCATTCGTTAAAACAAAAACAAATACATGCTTATTGGGTCTGATATAACGGCGTCAGATTCAATCACACACACACACACACACACACACACACACGAATATCAAGGGATGANATTAGAACATGCGAATGTTTTTCTTCTTCTTTATAATTAAGCATTTACATAGTTAGCTAGTAAAATTGTACTCATTATCCGATATCTTGAACGTGTATGCCACTCTGTAAGCCAATCAGTCACCGGAAATAATTTCCCATTAATACTCTCCCCTCTACCCTACGCCCATTCGAATTGCATTCCCATAGAGGCTCCCGGATTAATGGACCCGATAACTGTGGAATGTATACAGGAAAAAGCACAATCTGCTCTGGAAGAGTACGAGCGATTTCAATACCTCCATCATCAACCATTTCGTTTCGGGCGTCTATTACTCCGACTGCCTCGTTTGAAATTGGTCACGGGGTACATCCTACAGCGTATATTCTTTCCCCATATGGACGAAGATCGATCTTCCGTGGAACAACTGATAAAAGAGCTTCTCCTACGCGAACCGCCATTGCCACCACCACCACCACCACCACCGTTACCACCACCGTTACCACCACCAACCAACTCCAATCCCAGTCTGCATGGGCGTTCCCCGTTTGATACGGATTTCACTGAGTGGCCCGGATCGACTTTTCCAACGCCTACAACAGTCACTCCTCAATTCCCATCCGGGCTCGGGTTTGATTGTGATATGAACCTGTTCCCGATCGACCCCGGACAGAAATCCGCACTTCCCTGTTGGTCACCTAATTCACGAACGGGAATAGAGCTAACCGCGCATCCCGGGTTGGATTCAAATTTGTTTGGAACAACAAAATTGAACTTTATGGACCCAGACTGGTGTATACGGAATCGTAATCCATTTCTAATGCATCCGGCTCTGATGACTTTCGGCTATGGGCAGGTACACTTGCCGAGTGGCCCTCTTGAATCCAGCAAACCAAGGACAAATAAACCCCCAGTATCGAGAGATGAACCCTTGACTGAGGATCTGATCGGTTCGGAAATCAGTGCATTTGCACCAATTCAAACAAACACTCCACTAACATCTGGTAAAGTTTCCTCAGTTTGTTCATCTTGGCATCACCTGAAGCGTGTCGATTCGGCACACAAATCCCCATCCAGTGTGAACGCAGTAGTTGGAGATAATAAACACTTAAACCCTGAATGTATGCAATCGATCCGGAGACCAGTCACCACAGATGCTCCAATCCACAGAACTTTCACAGAACCTGGTCGGGACAGGATCGGTTTGTGTTCGAAACCCGCAGCCGCAACAACAATAACCACAACCACGGCAGCCGCAACACCAGTGAGCAGAACTTCTTTCCCCAGTAGTCAACAGATCCCTCAAATCCCATTCAATCAGACTTTAGCTAATCCGGCTACCTTACAACTATACTATGCAGTAATGCGGCATCAACTCAGTCTACTACAGAAGCACACAACATCCGTCCTATTCCACGAGAAACAGACTGAAAAATCCGGGCCGAATTGAAATTGTGTTCAACTTGTGTTCAGGCAATGATTCCCATGAGTTGACCGCAAAGTACTAAACCGCGGAATCAATCAACGAAACTCCAAAGTTCGAACAGACACAACTAGACTCGTATAGAACTTTTGCAGGCAGCAAACAGAAAATACCCCCCCCCTACACACACACACACACACACACACACCCTCCCCTTCCGCCCACGCCCACTGATCCTCAGAAGCAACTTCATCATCATTTTTTCCCGTTTCTTCTCATCCTCATTGTGAATGCTTTATTTCAAATTTTGTTAGTTTCATTCATTTGAATTGGACGCAGTCCATGCAAACAAACAAACAAACAATTCGATGTGGTTGACTTCATTTAATACGTTCTTTCATATTGAAAAACAGACAATTCCACAAGCATATGCATACTAATGCTTCTCTCGCCCTCTCTCTTCCGCTATAGCCCGCACTTTCCTTCCTTCTGTCGTCGACCTACTTGATCCAGAGTATTGGTGAAATTTGCCACGGTAATGTAAAACGCTCGCACGCG